ATCAGCATATTCTAAGTCAACAAGTGAACCTCCTGGTAGAGGTTCAACCCCTGTAAATTTAGATGAGGAAAGTGTTATCTCTAAAAGTACGTCAATGACAAAGTTGAACAGGAGTGGAGAGAGTGGACAGCGTTGACGAACACCACTTGAGGTAGTCAATTCTGATGACAGTTCGCCATAAGCTCTCACTCTACCAGTTGTGTTCGAGTACAGAGCCTTTATAAGGTTAATGTACTTTTTGGTACTCCTTTCAGTGACAAACACTGCCATAGAACCTCACTATCAACAGAATCGAATGCCGCCTTAAGGTCGAGAAATACTACCATTGTGGGGCGTCTGAATGTGTGTCTGTGTTCTAGAACCTGACGTAATGTGAATACCTGATCTACACAATCACGTCCAGGTCGAAAACCAGACTGATTTTCTCTAGTCTGTTCTTCACAAGCTTTGGTTAGGCGACGAAGTATTATTGAAGCTAATATTTTAGACACTATATTTGTCAAACTGATTCCTCTGTGATTGTCACAAGAGGACTTTTGTCCTTTCTTATAGACTGGCACAATCAGTAATTGAGACCAGTCAGATGGGATTACGTCCAGTTCCCAAATTCTACCTAAGACCTCAGTTAATCTCACTGCTAATACTGAATCACCATCCTGAAAAATCTCAGGAGTAAACCTGTCAGGGCCTGTTGCTCTCCCTCGCTTCAGATTTCCTATGGTTTTTTCAACTTCGTAAAGAGACGGAGGATTTACATGAACTTGCCATTCAAGTTGACTGGAGATCGTGGGAAACCAGTGTGGCTGAAGGCCAGTTGAACTGATCCCTAAGGTGTTCCGCTCATCGATCCAATCTCCTGGATTGAGAATGAATAATATGTGCATCTTTCTCTGAGCGCTTCGCTAACAGTCGGTTTCCTTAACAAGTCTGAACAATTGTCTGCTATTACCTATTGCCGCTGCCTTTTCCATCTCTCTTGCTTTCGTTACCCACCACTGTTCGCGATCATTTCGTAGGCTTCTTGTCAGCTTGTGCTTAAGCTGACTCCGCTTTTGGTTATGTTCAGAGCCAGACAGAACGGTAGATGCTGCTGAGATCCAGTGTTGCTCCCTCACCTTACGGTTTACCGTACTAGCAGATATCAATGCTGATTCCACAGCTTTTCGGATATCATTCCATGCTGCATCGGGGTGGGCATCACATACATGGCTCCCTAACTGTTTTCCTAGTTGTTCCTGAAATATACTCTTAGCTTGACTATCATTAGATAGAACCCCAAGAGGTTTCCTTGCAGCGTCTTTCCTACGTCCAGTAAGACGCAGACAAGTACGCGCTCGCACCAGAGCATGATCTGAATCTAAGCATGTGCTCCAGAATGAGCGAGTCTTCTATCGAGCCCATCCATCGGTGGCTAATAGCGATGTGATCTATTTGAGTCCAACCTTGGGACGAATTAGGGGGTCGCCATGTTAAAAGATGTTTTTCCTTATGCTTAAAGTTAGTATTTGCAAGGAACAGACGGTTATCTGAGCATAGACGCAACAGACGGTCGCCATCGTTTGTTTTTTGAGCCGCGATGCTATAAGATCCACCTAGGTGTCTTCCCCTATCGCTTAGTTTACCTACTTGAGCATTAATGTCACCGGCCACTATTACTACATCTGAGCGCCTAGCTTTTTGGAGAAGGTCCGAAAGCTTTCTGTAAAACTCATCTTTTACATCATCTGCGCTGCAGTCAGTGGGAGAATAGGCAGATACGACGAAGAGGCAACAACGAGTGCCCCTACCTTTTCGGATCCTTACTGTTCCGTTCAGTCGGACAGCGCACAAACGACTGTCTACTGGGATCCACTTTAAGAGAGCTAGTTCTGCCATAGGACTCAATGATATACCTACGCCGGCGAGGCCACGGGAAGCAGAATCATGGCTTCCAGATACACGAAGTGTGAGTCGAGTCGGTTCTTTATTTTGGCATGGCGAGGTCAAATGATTGACGCTACTCGGATCCTGTATGCGCGTTTCGGAGACGCAGCACACATCAGTGGTGCCGGATTCTAAAGTCCTAGCTAAGGAAGCCTGTTGTCCTATTTGACAGTGTTCAGACGTTGGGAGCTTCTACATGTAGTTTACAGCGTGGTTTCAGGAGACCAGGAATAGCGTTCCACGTACTCGAATCGTTTGCCCTAGAGATGCGAGGTGATAGAGCTGTGAGGAGGGTTATTCATGGAGATAAGAGAGGTATTAGGTGTAGGAATGATTTGAATGCGACCAACTTGGTCTCGTGTGCTGTGAAGGGTATGAGGGCTGTTATCACTTCCCAGCTGCCCACACCGTGGAAGGGTATTTCTTGAGGAACCTGAAAATGAAGTCGGATTAGTGTTGGTCTTAACGACCTGGGAGCGTGACCACAGAGCCCAAGGGACAACTGATTGAGGCCGGTTGCGCGCGGTGTTTTCGTGGGGGCTTTTTAATGTGTCAGCTCCGTCCTTCAAAGGGCCCTACCGCCGGAGACGGAAATCCGTGAGGTAAGGTAAGGTGTGATACTTTTAGGGTTAACCTTTTCTAGCCCCTTCCTTCCTTGTGAGAAGGCAGCATCGCTGCAGATGCTGGTTGTCTGAAGGAAACACCTTACTGCTGTCACACCTCTCTACAGTCAACAGTACGACTTCGCCCTCAGACCTTGAGTTGCTGCTTTTAGTTTTCAAAACATCTACAAAAGTGTGATATTGACAGGCTGAAATATAGTATAATTTGTCGCTCCTTATGTGAACATTTAACTCTTTTAGTAGTTACGAAGTCTCAACAAACCGGAAACCCAACGGTTATCAACCTTTCAGCGGATAGAAAAACCCCTTCATGAAAAGTTGATCCCTGTTTAATATAAAGGACTTTATAGCTGAGCTCTTATAGTATGAAAGAAAATATTCGACTTTATTTTGAGGGTGTATGAAACACCAGTTACAACGTATTGACTTTGAAACAGCCCAACATCCATAACATGAGTTTACGACTGTCTGTCTGTAAAGATCCACAATTCATTTTTAAAAAAGTATGCAGTACTTTGGAATTTGTTGACAAAGAGACAGTGAATAAGAGTATGGTGTTATTTGAAGTTCTACCATAACAGATTGCGTTATATTATATACTAGATAATCAACCTGAGAGGAAAGTCATTGAGTGGACAGCTACGACTGTTGAGACTAGCACCAGTGAATCCACCCGACAAAAGAGGGAACTAACAAAGACCGAAACGAAGCTTCATCTTGTTAATTGTGAATTTCGTTCTGTTGATTACATTGCCAGTCTGTTAACTAGCTCAAGCAATAAGACCTCCCATTCCTTGTTTTGCACGGTCACAGGTTATCCTGCTGACATTACTGGTCATTAAAAAAGGTTATAGTTATATCTTGATATTCTCACACATCTTCCAAATTCCCGAACTAAACAGTCTTAGGTCTATGCAAAACATGTCTCAGCCCCCGGTTGAGGTTTTACATACTTATCAACCGAATTGCAGTTACCTGATAATACACATCCAACCTCGGCACTGTTTACTTAATTGTCTGACAATACGACGGCAATGTCCTCAAGAGACCATGATAAAATAGCTGGTCAGTATCTACCCAGAATAATCTTCAGTCAGTCAGCTACAACGTAGGACCAGGCACATATATGCATCGGTCCAGGTTGCCACATCAGCCCAGCAAGATGAACACCGGATTCACAAGAGTAGTTAAGTCAATGGTGGTAATATATAAAAGAGATTGCATATAAGGACATAATACAGGAAGAAAGAATTAGTTCGTAGAAAGAAAGATATGAAGCGATTTTAATCTCTTAGTTTAAGGGAAGACAGGGAGTGTATACACCAACGCCATTGTGATCGATTCTGAACCAAGTCTTCAGAATAATCTTAATATACTGATCCTAAGATTCTGCACATCGAAACGAGTAGGTCTGCACCATTAAACATGGAGTAACGAGCGAACAAAAACATAAAATTGAGAGCCTGAGGTTTTCGAAAACTCAAATCCACAAACACTTTTGAATCAAGCTACTATCTTAAATTGAATGATTTGTTAGAAGCTCTATATTAACAAATGATGTAGGCATCAAAAATATATTGTCGGGGAAACATATTTATCAATAACGGTGTCACAGATTATGAGATGAGAACACAAGTGACGAATCTTACAAATCTTCATATGCTGTAAAAAGTTAACATCTAGTGATCAATGAAATGGGGATGATAGATAATAACCAGAAATTGTGGATCGATGTATCAGAGCAGAAAATCTTTCCAAGTGTTTTGTGAACGGATTCAAAAACAGAAACAAGATATTATAGGTTGAGGAACTTCAGTAAAACGCTAATACATATCGGAAATTAATTAGATTGTTAACATGAAAACAGGAAAAAAAATCCACCAACTGAATTGCATGTATATACGATACTGTAGTTGTTTTTATACGTTTCCAAGTATTAGGTGTATAGCTAAACACAGTTATGCAAAGTTAAAGATAGTATAACAGACTCAAAAGATTAAGCAAACTATGAATTTAAGAGTGCAAATCATGTAAGTATGGATTTGCTGTTAGCTAGAAAATACACTTCCCTACGTTCAAAAGACTAGAAATTAACTATTATTTCCAATTTACAGAGTTATATATATATATATTTGTAGTCAATTAATTGTTTTGCTCGATTAACTCATATGTGTACGTCTACTCATATTTATATAAACTGGTAAAAAGGCTAGCAAGGCATTATTATTGTTTATATAGTTAGATATAAACAAAGGAAGAGAAAAGTGGGACAATAAAGTTTAAACAGAAGATTGGTGTTGCCGTAGCAGTAGTTGACAGTTTTAAAACGTAATTATTTTCACAAAGGCCAATGTTAACCGGATAAAACATGAACTTATTTAAATCGTTGATCAATCTTCTACTTTCACAAGCCGGTGAAAAAAAAACATTGAAAAAATTTTGACAGGATGAGAATCATAAGAAGTAGTCCGGGGTACGTCTCGATACATGTGGTTCACCTCTACGTGGTGCGGGATCGAACTGCAAACTAAATATAAGAACAAAAATACATATTTTGCTCTCTTTTTATTAAAAATTGGCATATAATACAGTCAATAATAAATCTAAAATCAGATATTGGTTGTCACGAAATAATAGAAAGTACTGTTATTAAATGGAATGGAGCCGAGTTTGTGATTATGAGTACCAGCAAGGAAATGTGATATAGAACAAAAATCTGCATGAAACCAACAGCCCAATGTCCACTTGGTGCTGCTTTACAGTTACAGAATCCCAGTAAGATATTTCAAGCTAGTTATAGTGTAACAATATTTGATGTTACCTAACCTTAATAACAGACAGATTACATCTAGTGAGCTTTATGCGAACGATTTGCAAAATACTACTTTACCATATAACTCGTCAATGAGATAATAAAATGAGCAACAGTATGGCTCTAACAACTATGTTTAGGAAGCAACTAGATTTTCAGTAGTTTCACTGATCTGTTAAATTATGGTCGACTTATCAAACCAATGAAGGTTGTAACTAATATGACCAAGAGAGAAGGAATATTGGTCATATTAATAAGACGACACGACAATTGAGAACTAATTCGTTTATTAGTTAGCAATACTAGTTATTATGAGCTTTATAAAGCTTTTTGACATCGTCAGTTTACTGCTATATGTTGAAATTCTAACAAGTTGCGCACAAGCAGATTTTTCACGAATCTTGTGAAACTGCGCTTCATCCGTTAACTAGAAAGGGCTGCATCAAGTTGTTCGAGTCAATTACACGTAGGAATCAGCGAAAGTACAGCGATAGGACACTGCGCATAGAATGATGAACAGAATCGCTTAGTCCCATCGGCTTTTTGACACAGATTTCACGTGAATTCCCCAAATTTATAGGCCGATAACGGTCGACCTAACGAAATATTGAAAACGCTACAGTTTAAATGGTCTGGATGAACAACTCGGAATAAGACAAATATTTGATCAGAAATCTAACAGCGTTATTCAAAACTGCATGAAATCTAAGTATTTGGATTATTTTGAACTGTGATATACAAGATCAACTTATTTATAGTTACATCCAGAACTTGAGTGCTGTTAGAGGCGTCTAACAATGATAGTTTTTCCTGACTTTAGAGCTGCATATGACTCTGTAGACTGAGAGTCTCTGCGACAGTGTTTGTCATTGAAAGGCGTACCTCAGATGTACATAAACCTTGTGAAGGCTCTTTACTCTAACACTACTAGTCGAGTCAGAGCATATGGCGAACTGTCATCTGATTTTGCAACCACAAGCTGTGTCAGTCAGTCAGTCAGCTACAACGTAGGACCAGGCACATATGTGCATCGGTCCAGGTTGCCATACCGCATCAGCACAACAAGATGAACACCGGATTCACAGCAGTGGTTAGGTCAAAGGTGGTAATATATAAGAGAAAGATTGCATATAGAGATATAGTACAAGAAGAAGGAATTGGTTCGTAGAAAGAAAGATATGAAGTGATTTTAATCTCTTAGTTTAAGGGAAGACAGGGAGTGTATACATTAATGCCATTGTGATCGATTATGAGCCATGTCACACAGAGTCTCCAACCATTGTTTACGGAAGTCACGCGGACCCCAACCAAGTAGTCTCAACTACCAACATGGCTCAGACTAGAAGTTAGTGTCTTCAAGCACTGATGCCACGTTTTGGTTTGGCCGCCTCTAACTTTCTTCCAACCATATCCAATACCGGATAGCATTGCACGTCGTGGTAGTCGGTGTTCAGGCATACGTAACACGTGGCCCAACCATCTCAGTCGATGAAGATTCATAACCTCACCAACTGATTTACCATCATTCCCTAATACCCTGCGTCTAACCTCACTATTACTTACCCTGTGATCCCAGCAGACGCCAGCAATATTTCTAAGGCATCTGTGGTCGAATACTAGTAGCTTACGGGTGTCTTCTACTCTTAATGGCCATGTTTCGCTGCCGTAAAGTAAAACAGAACGAACTGCCGCGCAGTATACCCGTCCTTTTATTGAGAGACGGATATCTCGCCTTCGCCACAGGTGACGTAAGTTGGCAAGCTGTGTCCGATAAGGCTTTCCATTATCTCCATTTCTATTTAATTTCATCATAGACATATTGATGGAAAGTTCTTGTTGTTTGGATTTCTAGGCATTGATCTCTTACCAGGAGGTTCACTTATCGACCTAGAATACACAGATGACATGGTCCTGTTTCGTGAAGAAACTGATAAAATGCAGGCTTTTGGGAGCACTCAGTAACAATGCCACGACGTTTGGGATGTAAGTTGATGATTCACGACTGGCCAGTGTCAACACCTGAACTTAGTATAGGGAGTGAGGTAGTCGAACATGTCGACATCATTTATCTTGGAAGTCTGATCAGCCCTAATGGGTTGGTATCTGACAAAATCTCTACATGGATTCGAAAAGCTCGTTTGGCTTTTGCCAACTCACGTCACTTATGGCGAAGGCAAGATATCTGTCTATCAATAAAATGACGAGTATACAGTGCGGCAGTTCGTTCTGTTCTAATTATGGTTGCGAAACGTAGCTATTAAGAGTAGAAGATTCTCGTAAGTTACTAGTAATCGATCATGGTGCTGGGATCGCCATGTAAATATTAATGAATTTAGACGCAGAGTATTAGAGAATGATAGTGAATCAGTTGATGAGGTTGTAAATCTTCATAGACTGAGATGGTTGGATCACATGTTACGTATGCCTGAACACCGACTACCATGACGCTCAATGCTGATCGGTTTTGGGAATGATTGGAAGGAAGTTAAGGGAGGCCAAAACAAAACGTGGCATCAGTCACTGAAGTCACTAACTTCTAGTCTGAGATGTGTTGGTAGATGCAGACTATTTGTTTACGGTGCGCGTGACTATCGTGACCAATGGTTAGAGACTCTGTGTGACATGGCTCATAATCGATCACAATGGCATTAATGTATACACTCTCGATTTTCCCTTAGACCGTGACATTGAAAATTGCTTTGTATCTTTATTTCGACGAACTTATTATTTGTTCCTGTATTATACCCTTATACAATCTTTTTATATATATCACTACCACTGACGCAACTACTTTCATGAATTCGGTGTTCATCTTGTGCTAATGAGGTGTGTCAACTTGGACCGATGCATATATGTGTCTGGCCCTATGTTGCAGCTGACTAATTGACATCCAGAACAGCTTATATCAAATTAGAGTTACATTTAGGTTCGTCGCAACTTTATTTCAGCGACTGACAAGGGTTCCTCTACCCTGATTTTGTGAAACCGAATATCCTAGAATCATAGAACTTCGATGAACCTCAGATTACTAAACAGTTGCAATATCTCTTATAATCTTGATTAAATAATTGCTACCATCGGTTTTTGTGGGCTAGACAGTTAGAGACTCCCATATGGTGCACTGTTTGATGTTGTAACGGTGTTGTAAGGGGATGAGAATAGCTTATACAACCATGAAATGGCAAACAGCTGTCTTGGCTTAATATTTACTGATCCTTCATAATTCACAGTGCAGAAACGATATTGTGAATTATGATGTTTTGGTCCTCCAGTGCATCAAGTACTTTCCATAGTATACAGAAGTTAAAACGACTGAGTTAATATCAGTATAAACAATACTACTAGTACAAATAAAATGTATCTTATCGATGAATTAACTTTAAGTTCAGATAACAATAGAGACGTTTAGAATGAATTTATCAAGAAACAAAGTGACATAAATGAGAAAATGTGCAAGATAATAACTTACAAGTTATATTTCAGATTATCATCCAGTTCCATTAAAGCTGCTTGATTACCACATCGATAACAATAATTGGGAGCACTGAATATAGTGACAACATTTCGATCATGACACCAGTTAAAGCCTTCCATAACTAACTGATGTGCTCGACTGACTAAAGTTAAGTTATTACTGTGATTAAACGTTTCTGAAATATCCTGTCCAAATGTATAGCCAGCACCACGTGGACTGATGCCCCAACCACCTCTGTCATCTGGATCAGACCACAATAAGTCACACATTGGACCCTGAACAAAATTATGTACACAACCGAATAATCTATTAGTTTGAACTATTAGATTTGCATATATATATATATATATATATATATATATATATATAAACAATAAACGGCAGCACACATTCAGAACAGTTTGACCTCCATTCGACAAACGTAGAACAGAAGGAAATACAAACACTGTTTTCAGTATTAAAACCCAAAGAACAAGTAAAGAAAGAGATTACAGTAGGTTGGTGGGCATTAGATTCTTGAAAACCAACCGAAAAACGTAAACGTCTTGACCAACTGGAGATTGATTTAAAAGGAAAATAACTTGAAAGTTCACATAATGATAAACAATGAGGATACCGAAAACAAGGTCTAAAAATTAGGCCCAGGGTTTATGTGGGTTGAGATGGTCTTGTGACTTGTTATCAAATGCTGTAGGGATATTTAATCAATTTCAGGGAGCAAATGAACTATGAGGCTAGTTCTTAAGTGAAAAAGTCCAAAATTACAAAGCCTGAACTGAGTAATGAGTTCTCTGGGTTACAAAGGCATATTAAGATGAAGTTACTAGCAAGTACTAGGAATTTCAGATTACTTTCAATCATTATTATTAAATTAGTCTAAACTGAAGTGTATACTATATTAGGAAAATGCCTTAACACTCAATTGTCTACTTATAGCTACAAAACCTAAGAACTCCAACATATTACTGATTTTCAACTTAGTTTTAGACAACTGATGAATATACCATGACGATAGGCTTACTCATCATGAATTTAGGCGACGTGTTTACGTCCTCCGTGATTCCAAACCACATTCTGCAGACAACTTCAAAACTAACCTGTTGATTTGTTTATCAACCTATAATGTGTAATATCTATCCTAGTTAGAATATATGTAATTGGTAAACATGACCATAGTAGTTTAATATTTAGAAGTTTGATGCAGAAATTTAACGTCAGGTAATTTAGTATAGATCTGCGTACCCCGCTAAGCTAGCAACAATAAACCAGTTAATAAAGAGAAGAATGAACTTTTGCCCTACCATGTCATCAGTGAGCACCTGAAAAATTAAGTGGATCTTGAAATAACTTAGTTTTCACTGACCCATTATTTGGTTGTTAAGGTTTGACCCCAACTTATTTAAAAATCCTGCGTGGATTGATATTGAGTTTTGATTTTACATTTTTACGACGGATACTATGGATCGAGGTGTTTAAGCCCACACCTTAGAGTACAATATTTGTTGAGTTGGGTGTAGGGAGAGCAGGACAGAGTATGTCTAAGAGGGAAATAACGGCATCAACCAGTTGGTAAAACTGACATAACTGAAGCAGCGTTGTAAGCAATGACCCACTGTTTGAAATCTAAGAACTCTCACATAAGTGAGGACGTAACAATTTGTAGGCCTGTATCGTCAGCATGGTGAGACTATAAACCATGGAGGATCTTTGAGGCACGTTGAAGTGACCTTGTGAGTGTCCGTCTCCTTACTAGGGCTAAATCGGGGTTATAAAAGCGTGAGGAATTTGAATTATGATTCATAGTTGATGGTTAGGGTTTATAGCTTTTCATCATGAACTGATATCAGCTAGAGTGCCATGACGTCACTGACATGTGCACTGGGCCATCTTGGTAGGTGTAGACTACCTGGTTGGAATCCGTGAGCCTACAGCAACCGATGGTTAGAGGCTTTGAATAACATGGTTCAAAATTGTGTGCGATGGCGCACGCGCATCTAGGTTGTTACTGACTGGCTGTCAAGACGCTGTTAAGTCAAATGGTTGAATGGATTTAGTGCCCGAAACCCGAGACCTGTTATCCCAAATGTTTGTTTCCTCCATAAATTATAGTCTCCACGCTCGCACGAAAAGGAACAAAGAAAAACAAAAGTGTGAATAGCTACTCACCTCATGGGGGACCTCTTGAATCCTGTCCAAAGCCCTAATGTGATCGAGAGTATCTATCGAGGGTGACAGCCCGCCATGTAAGCAAAATATCTAACAGTAATAATGTAGTGTTTGGCTTACTGAATTGTCAACCAGTGCAGTTAGTGGAAGGTAATCAAACAAGTCCGTGAAGTATTTCCAAACATTAGCATTACCATATTTGCGAAGGCATTCGTCATAAAATCCATAAACTTGTGTGATTTGACGACTTTCGTGGTTTCCCCGGAGAATAGTTATTCGGTCTTTGAATCTAACCTGAAAAGGTGTGATAACATAATGTTAAAAAACCTTCATGGCCACGAGTAAAGTGACAGTTTCAACAGAATAGTATCCACGATCAACATAATCACCCATGAATAAGTAATTGGTATTCGGAGACTTTCCACCAATGCGAAATAATTCCATCATATCATGGAACTGACCATGTACATCACCACATACAGTGACCGGGCTTCGTACATTTTGAACATTTGACTCCTTTGTGAGTATATCCTTTGCCTACAACAACCGATGACTACACAGCCCCACATACTTTTTCACAAAGGGATTTAACTTGTGCTTCTGTCAGCTGATTACACTCATACAGTTGCTCAATCCACTGGTCAAGTTCCTTGGCCTCAGCTCGAAAGTCACCCGCCATCACCTCAACAAAAATATATAATGACCGCGGCACGACGTAATTTCAAACAACTGTACATCACTTTCAGGACATGATTAGTAAAACTCACTTTACTTAATATCAATAATTGTGGTGGGAATAAGTAAGAGTTGGATGGTTTCTTGATTCATGGGTCATGGTAGAGTACAAATAGTGTAGCTTGTCCACTAAAATGACGACACACTGTGAATTCTACAATTGCTTAGGTGCTGGCGTATCTTGAGTCTTAATGACTGCGTCTATTTTTAAGTCTTTAGGTTTCTAAAATTGACAGCCTCAGGTCAGAAGAGTGACTAGTCCTAAAGTGAAATTTTCGAAATTATAGTGTCACGTTAACAGAAGACAACGGTGAACTATTAACTGTGAAGTTCAACGGAAAGAATGCACATTATTCAGATGTTCATTTAGTGAAGTGCTAACATCTAACTGGCGATCACTCAATATTTATCGCCAGGACCGATCAAGAAGAAAGAAACGGAAACTTGTTGAAATACTTTAAGCTGAGAATTCTATATTGTACCAAAAATATAATATTGATTAAAGCTGATAATAATAAAAAAAATTCAGTTGATTGAAGCTTAGCTTTCACAGATGACTTCCTGAAATATTGAAACTTCGTTGTCAGGAATGTAGTCTGCTCACGAAGAATCTTGTAATAACTCAAAGCATCTTAAGCAGACCTAGGGATCCTCTGAAACACGAACTTGTTTTCCGTTGTAACAGAAACACACTGGAGAATGTTAGGAAATAAGAACCACATCGTCGATAACCGGATCGAATATGTACCTTTAATTCTCCAGGGTTAGTTGACAATTGACTGGGTTGGTACCCTAACATAATGATGTTACAAGCAAATGCGTTATCAAACCCTGAATGTCTGTGGTGTTTTGAAGTATTTATTTTCTCTACTACTTTAGGGTCTTTTGTAACTGTAGTTGAACTTGTTTGGTGATCTTCATGTGTTACTGCGATGTGTTGTCACATCCCATGGATTATGCACTCGCCAGCGAACATTGCATGGCATAAAGAATTTATTCGTTAGCTCAAAAAACTGTCAACAAATTGGTCATATTGCCCCTTATTCTCTTCCAGCTAATATCAACGATGAATGATCTAAAGCACTTTCTTGAATAGCATCTTATATATTAATTCAATAAATCGCGTTAGGTGATAACATAATAACGTAAGTGCGCATCCACGATCCCGCGAGCGTGATTCGAACCCAGGGCCTTCGGTCTCGCGCGCGAACGCTTAACCAACTGGACTACTGAGCAGGCATCCAATGGTGTTAATGTCTAACCTCAACCATCCCAATCACAAACTTGACAATCTCCACAACCCCTATTCTAGTAATCTACATGTGCTCACTAGTGACTAGCTTCGTGAGGGAATTCTCGGAGTTCTAGTTCCTCCAGGTTTTCAATTGTGGTGGTCTAACATCAACCTGTTCATGATCTCAATCAAAAACTTATTAATCTCCACAACCCCTATAGTGATAATAACGTAAGTTGGAAACCTGGAAACCGAAAATATTACTCCTTGCTACCACTAATATAAATAAAAGTTAACAACAAATTGAGAGGAAAAAACCACTTTGTGTGATTAAGATGAACAGGCACAGGACTAAAAAGACTATGAGCAAAGGGTGAATATACTTAGAACATCGTAATTACTCATAAAGAGTGTGGCGGTAAATAAATCCTCAAAATAAACAGCTCTGTAAGTCTTCTGCATTGGATGCCGGCCACACTAGTTTTAATCGACTCACATGGCTGAGGGCGCTCGGTCATAAATCCGCACTAGATCACGAGTGAGAAAGTCGTGCTCAACATCTCATGCAAGTTAGCAAGCCTAGAAACGCTGAACAGCCGTTTCGTCCTACTGTGTTACTCCTAAGGAGAGCGCATGCACGATCTCGCCTTGCGAGACTCAAACTCAAGACTTATCGGTCTCGCTCGCGAACGCTCATCCTCTAGACCAGTGAGTAGACATCCGACGGTGTTAGTGTCTAAATTCAACTAATCCACGAAAACAACTATAATATCCTTAAAAACAATTCTGATATTCATCTTTCGTTTCTATACTAACAGTGTCAACATATGTTTTAGTAATAGATAAAGTTTAACAAGCCGAATAGCTTACTGGTTCTGACTTCGGCTAACCAAAGACTTGGGGGAAAATCTTAGAATATCGCCTGAAGGAAACTATATCTTACATCCACTAAATGCAACATGAGATTAAGATTCCTTTCGACTTTTGAGTGAAAGCTTATTTGTAGTATAACTTTCGGAGTTCAAATTGCATAACCAAATAATAGATATTGATGACCATAAGTTGGTGTGGATTAATAGTTGCAATCTATTATATTACAAATTTATGTTCTGATTTCGCAACCTGAATATCTTAGGAGAAATGATAATGTCTGATGGCAAGAATTTTCATTAGAAATCTTGAGATACAGTTATAGTTGGTGCTATGCTCCGTCGATTCGTATTTCAGAATGAAACCTTACTTGTTCTTTTGTCTTATATGATTGATCTTTAATTTCATTGGAGGAACTGGCGACAATCCATGTGTTAAATTGTTTGTAGACAGATGCGGTGTCGTTACATTGTTACTGCTCGCTATGCTACAGAGACTGTTTTGTCAAACAGTGAGCATCCTAAGAATAATATTAAGAGAGCCATTCCGATCATATATTACATATATTTTGTTTGACTCACGTATGATTGCATCGAAAATAACTCTTAGCCTCTAGTACTACGCTGTGTTCATACGATTTACCCTGGCTTCAAAACAGACCAACTTTTATAATTTCATTTATTACGACCCAGATACCTTTTTTCTCAGTATTCGTGCACGATACTTCACTCGACAAGCTCCCAAATCGGAAAACAGTTGAACAGGAACTTAATTGTATTCGATACAAAAGGATGGATGGAAGTAGGAATCACAATAAGAAAAGTATTAGTATTTTAATGATTTCTACATATGAATATTCTTGAGTCTTCTCAATCTGTCCACTAGTGCTGATTGGATAGGAAATAGACAATCAGTGTGCCCCAACGTAATCCTGTACGGAAGTGCTTAAATCCAAGTTATATCCAGTTAACACTAACCGATTTATCCTTTTTGAGACATTACCCACACAGATTCAGACCTTGTTAAGTGTTCGCTTATAACTTTGTTTTTAGATGGATGCACATGTGTGACGCTTTTGAAGAAACATTTGGCCCTAATGTTAAGCATGTTACTGGATACTAGCTAGTCATTATCCAGAAACCACACTGAAATAATTGTATTTCTAAACGTAATTGTAACTTTTAATCGTCATTCATATAAAAGGTTCCTGCCCTGAATCTTCCTCATACTACGTGCCTGTATATCACACAAAAAACTGTTACAGATATGACTAATACGCCGGTGCTGCACACCTTGTAGCATAGAGACCATCCAGAGGAAAACACCGATACAACGGCAGAGCTCGTAAGGCGATCTTCCACTTCACGTCATGGTTAGTCAATAGTTTCATCCATATACAAGACGCCTTGCCAGATAAAAAATGGAGAATATCGTCCTCTCTTTTGGCTTTTCCCTAGGAGTCGCTGGCGTAAAGAGAAAATTTTACTATGCAACAGTTCACAGAGGGTCTGGTAAATGATGAACTATGAGAACGAGTGAAAAAGGAATGGTAAATGGCGGTTGAAGACGCCTCGCTGACCACTAAACAAAAAGAATTGATCCTTCATGTTGGTAGGATACCAAAAACATCAGACCGAACTTGTGCTGAGCACATCAACAACTGTCGAGGTATTCCACTGAACCGATACAACATTAGACACTGGATACCCTAAACGCAACACAACGGCGTAAGACGATATCTATTTCATGCCCCTAGGCAGGCCACGCAGTCAACAAACTCAGCACCCAGCAACCATGCCAAATCACCTCTAGGTGAGTCATTCCATTTTTTAATGCTAACCGGCACTGGCGTACATATGATCAGCGAATTGCTTTTTGTTATTATTTCCATCGATGGGGAACTAGTTGAAGGACTAGTTGATGTTGAAGCGGACTGCACTCTTTTCTTAATTTGTGTAATCTGGCAGTCGTCTGCAAGACTGACAACGAACGTCGCTTTCCGGACAGCCTCAAGCGCTGTTATGAAAACAGCAGGGCTATTGACGTTTTGTAGAAAAGAAAAGCAAATAAACTTCAAGGAATCGTTCAATTTTTCGGAAAGATTCAGTCCCGAAGGTGTGCACGATTTGTTGGGACTATACTGTTGTTTCCAGAAGCACCTGCAAGGAACATCTTCACCGTCTCGAGTTAGTGCTTCATTTTATTATGGGCAACCTACCACGTAATAAAATAGATTTTTATGGTCATATAACCGATCTTGACGGTGTTCGTGGTGAATCGGTCTGAACCAATTTAACCTGATGTAGTACGCAGGTTTCTCGGTTTAACGGATTACTACAGTCGTTTTGCAAAGAACACTGCAGAAACGGATTGTCTCCTTATGTGTTTAACGGAGAAAAATATAGAATCTGAGTGTTCGGATATTCGTCACAAACCATTCGATGCTCTGAAAGATACAATTTACTCAGCACCTGTATAAAAACTGCCAAACATTGGCAAATTCCGGTAAGTAAAAATACGAGCGAAATAGGAACTGTAGTGGCATTATCTCAGATGAGACCTGATGGCAAGTAGGATGTTATTGAGTATGAAAATCAAATGTTGAACCAATTTGGAAAGAAGTACTGTGCTACACTAAAACAAATGTTGTCAGTTCTGTAATTCATACCGAAGTACATATAGAACCTTTATATCGCACACTTCAAACTAAAAACCTACCCGTAAGCTTTCCAGTCTTCAGGGATTTTCAAAGACTCGCAGGTGCGAACAAAGCGCTGACAAGAGTATCTTCGCGAATTTGATCTCGAGTGCATCCATCGACCAGGGCGCCACCATAAAAA